GAGGCCAAACTTGTGTGAGCTTTGGTGCTTTGCTGCTGCTGCTGCTGTTGCTGTCGTTGCTGCTGCCACTGGTGCCCCTGTTGCTGCTTTCTGCTTTGCTGCGCTGCTGCTGCTGCTGGTCGCTGCTGAAATTCTCCACGGCGCAGGGTGGGGCTACTGGTGACTGCTGCTGCTGGTTGCTGCTGCTGCTCCTGCTGATTGCTGCTCCTGCTGATTGCTGCTGCTGTTTGACTGTTGCTGTTGCTGCTTCTTGCTGGTTGCTGCTTCTGCTGGGTGCTGCTGCTGTTTGGCTGTTGCTGTTGCTACTTGTTGCTGGTTGCTGCTGTTGCTTGCATCCTGAAGACTGCTGCTACTGCTTTGCTGTCCCCCCCTCTTTCAACTTCGTCTGCGCAACCCCAAAAAAACTGAACGAAAGCCAAGGGTTGTGGAGGCCAAACTTGTGTGAGCTTTGGTGCTTTGCTGCTGCTGCTGCTGCTGTTGCTGTCGTTGCTGCTGCCACTGGTGCCCCTGTTGCTGCTTTCTGCTTTGCTGTGCTGCTGCTGCTGCTGCTGGTTGCTGCTGCTGCTGCTGCTGGTTGCTGCTGGTTGCTGCTGCTGCTGCTGGTTGCTGCTGAAAATCTCCGCGGCGCAGGGTGGAGTCGAATGGGGGGGGGGGGCCCCCCCCCCCGACATTTAAAACCAACTCTTAAACCACCGAACTCAGGGACAGGAGCCTGCGACCAGCCCCAATACATTGCTAAAGCAAGGCAACTCAGGTAGCGTAACCGCTACCTTTCGTGATAATTGCAAACAAAGAGCCTTAACTCGGATGCCAGACCTCACGATTGAGTTGCGTCACACAATGGACAAGTTGGTCAAACAAAAAAAACGAAAACTGTGGCCCGTCTATGTTTGACAACTTCGTTCTCATCTAGGAGCAAGGGGCATCGCTGCTAGGAGCCTGAACGCTACTAGGAACGAGAGCATTTCTACTAGTAGCAAGGTCGCTACTAGGGGCTCCTGGTATTTCTACTAGTAACAAGAAACTAGTAGGGCCTGGCATCGCTATCAGGAGCAAGGTCGCGGCTGATTTTTCGCCATGCCTAAAGCTTCCCGCAGCACAGGCGACTCCAAGGCCTCGACATTCTCTTCGATGTTTTTTACAAATAATTCTGGTGCAACTCATTTTGCACATCTTTTTGAAGGCAACTTGAAGTTTTGCTCGTGCAGAATGTTGACTTGAGGCCAGGGGGAGAGGTCGAAAGCTAGCCGAATCGCACCGGATGTACTAGTTACATAGTCGGCAAAGCATGTAGGGATTACATGTTTTGGGAGGAAGGTTGCTATGTACAGACTTTGCGCTAAAGAATGTAAATGTGACATCGCTGACTGGGAAGGGTACATTGGAACAACCCGGGTGCACTCGTTGGCAGGCACGAAGATGCGTGATCGGCAAATCTGGGGGGTAAATTTACCCTCCGCTTTTGTATGCCTTGAGTCGGAAAGAGGGGTAAGCATTTCTGACATCATACGGACTGTACATACACTAGGGCGTCCGTAGTGTAGGAGAAGCACGGGTAAAAGGTATATGGAATAGAGTGTCTTGAGGAAATAGCCGGTGTATGGTTATTGCAAATCTGGGGGGTAAATTTACCCCCCGCTTATGTATGCCTTGTGCTGGAAAGAGGGGTAAGCATTTCTGGCATCACAAGGACTGTGCATACACTAGGGCGTCGGTAGTGTAGGATAAGCACTGGTAAAAGGTATAAGGAGTAGAGTGTCTTGAGGAAATAGTCGGCTTATGGTTATGGCAAATCTGGGGGGTAAATTTACCCCCCGCTTATGTATGCCTTGAGCCGGAACGAGGGGTAAGCATCACAAGGACTGTGCATACACTAGGGCGTCCGTAGTGTAGGATAAGCACTGGTAAAAGGTATATGGAATAGAGTGTCTTGAGGAAATAGCCGGTGTATGGTTATAGCAAGCCTGGGGGGTAAATTTACCACCCGCTTATGCATGCATTAGGTTAGAAATAGGGGTAAACAACTTGTAACGGTGAAGTACAAGTCCTATGCAGCAAGCAGCCAGCAGCAACCACCAACCAGCAGCCAGCCAGCAGCACCACGCAGCAGCAGCGCAGCATCAAGCCGCAGCAGCAGCAGCACCACCGGCAGCAAGCACCACCGGCAGCAAGCAGCAAGCAGCAGCAGCAAGCAGCAAGCAGCAGTAGCAGCGGTGTCGTCAGCAACAGCAGCAGCAGCACCAAGCCGCAACAAGTAGCAAAGCAGCAGCTACAAAAGCGGCAACCAGCGGCAGCAGCAAACAGCAGCAGCAAGCAGCAGAGCGGCAGCAGCAGCAGCAGCACCGTTTACACCCAACCAACCACGTTTACACCCAACCAACCACGTTCACACGTTCAACCAACCCCCTACACGGCGCAGCTGGGAGTTGAACCGCGGGGGGGGGGGGTTAGCTTGATATATCAATCTTTAAGGCACGCAGCCCCTCCCACCACAACATTGCTAAAGCAAAGAAGAACTCAGCTAGCATGCTAGCTTTCGTGACATGGCCGTTCACTTGGATCTCACTACTCCACGGTCTTCGCCAAAGTTTCACACAAAACTAGTAGCGATGCCCTTATTGCTCCGTTCGTAGCGAGGCCCTTATTGCTCCTAGTAAGGCCAGGAGCGCCCCTAGTAGCCTTCTTTGCCCAGGCCAGGAGCCCCTCAAGTAGCGAACATCGCGTCGCACAGCGCGTCCCACCTGCGTGTGGATGCCCGCAGATCCGAAGCCCGTGAAGTGGCCATTTCTGGAAGAAAGAAATGACAGTGAAACCTATTAAAACAAGAAGCTACTAGGGGCCCGTGGCCTTACTACTAGGAACAAAAGGCTAGTAGAAACAATAAGAAGCTTACTGACCATTTTTTCACCTACTGAAACTCATTTCAGAGAAAGCAGCCGCATTTCGCAGGCCATTCTCTCAACCTGAATCCCCTTGTTGATGGCCACGGGCGAACTTGTTCGTTTTCCCTCGCCCTCTCCACACCTTCGAGCAACGAAGTCAACAATACCAGGAACTAGGAACACTTCGGGGGAGTTACTTAGCCCCCGACTTCCAAGTGTCAGGGCCCTAGACACCGAATCACGTGTTTTTGGCAAAACTACGAGCGTCCGATCGCTCCTAGTAGCGATGCCCTTTGCTCCTATGTAGCGTCCTCTTGCTAGTAGTGATGGCCAGGAGCCCCTTTCAATCCCCAACAAAAGCAACTTCGCTGTCAAAGAAATATCTTTTTTGGCACCCCATCCCGCTAAGGCCGAGGCTTCAGGAAGTCTTCCAGAAAGTGTTGCACGATCTCGGTGGGGATGATGTAGCCTTGGGCGTCTCAGGGGTGTCTTGAGGGTCTACACTTCTCGATACGAGGAATTCTAGCAAATCTTGTTCCTACTAGTAAGGCACCTGTTACTACTAGCGAGGCACTTGTTACTACTAGCGATGCACTTGTTACTACTGTATATTTTTAAAGTGTGCTCTTGCCCCTTGAATAAGCTGGCATCGCTACTAACTAGGAACAAGCGCATCGCTACTAGGGGCTCCTGGCATCGCTACTAGGAGCATTCTTACTAGTAGCTTCTTGCTCCTAGTAGTAAGGTCAGGAGCCCCTAGTAGCGAACATTGTTCCCAGTAACGATGCCCTTTGCTACTAGTAGCGTCCTTTGAATAACCCGTTTCAATTGCCCAAAGACCTTGCCCTTTGCGCCGTTGCAGCGCAACCAGGGCAGGTGTGTGTTGCATCGGTGGACAAGCTTGCACGTTGCAGGACGCTGTGCATCTTTCCAGGGGACTGCACCAACGTGAAAAAGGAAACTAAGAGAAGAAAACAATTTGAGCTATTGGAGAAGCGGCCGGCCTTGGCAAGTTCCACGTGGATCCATTCTTTTTGGGGTGCAATTTGTTAGCGATGTCTGAAGAGGATGGCGATGTCAGGCAAGGCAGCGTGTCTCTTGCTTTGACTAGACGACTAGATTGCAAAATCTCAAAGTACCTAGTACGCGTTCGAGGGATTTCTTCTCCCTGCATGCGCTGCCAAAGTATTACCTTTGCCTCAAGCGCGCAATCAACAAATGTCTATGTCACTTCGGTTCACCTATGAAGAATGGATTGGGTCACACGTGCTCGACGGTTGGTGTACTGCCTGATGGACTGCAGCAACCATCGTTCCTGTACTATCTCTACCGTCTCACAGGATGCCTCAAACTACTTACTGCTTGCAATGGGCTCGGACATCTGCTCGGGCCTTGGTGTGAGGCCTGAGGTGTTACCAAGCGGGTCGACGCAAGACCATGCATAGCGCGTGACATGCCAAATCCCCAAGTAGGAACAATGTTCGCTACTAGGGGCTCCTGGCATCGCTAGGAGCAGGCACGATACTAGGGCCAGGAGCCCCTGGTAGCGTCCTGGCTCCTAGTAGTATGGCCAGGGGCCCTAGTAGCGAACATTGTTCCTGTGTTTGCCAAGGTATATGAACAAGCAAAGTGTGTCCTTCCTTGCGCTCCAGGCTGCTTGTCCCGTGTGGGTGCCCACACCGCGATACCAGCAAGCGTGTCCGTCAAAGAAACGTCTTCCGAGAAGATCTGGATATACATTTAAATTAATAGCTAACATTGTTACTACTAGCGTGGCACTTGTTACTACTAGCTTTAAAGTGCTACTCTCAGCCGTCAAAGTCTGCACTGGCCGTGATTCAATCGAGGCGATGTGGATATGCGCAGCGGGCGGAGGACATCACATCCCGCCGCAAAGCCGTACAAAATGAGGCGGAAAGGGCTTGCGAAGTTCTTGTCTTCGCTACTAGGAACAAGTGCATCGCTAGTAGTAACAAGTGCCTCGCTAGTAGTAACAGGTGCCTTACTAGTAGGAACAAGATTTGCTAGAATTTCATTAGAATTTAATTAGAATAGATGTGATGTCTAGTAGCTTCTTGTTACTACTAGTAAGGCCCTTGCTCCTAGTAGCGATGCACTTGTTCCTAGTAGCGAACATTGTTTCTTGTCTTCCCTTGGAACCCAATTTGACGAAGAAACCTGCCCCCCGGAGTCGACATGGACACTTGTCCTCGACGGCCGGATGAGAAACGGGAAGGAAGGATCCGCTTCAGCGCATCTCCCCATTGCTGAATCTTGCATTCGAAGTCCAGCATGGGAAATCAGCTGTGGTTGCGTAATCGCGAACGCCGGCATTGTGCAGGATTTCGTGAACAACTCGATGTTTGGAAGGCAAAGTCAAGAGGAATCTATTGAGACATGTTCTTCCCCCGATGGCCTCTGAGGCAAAGTCAAGAAGGCAACTAGCCGTAGCACGCGAAAACCTGACCATGCCTGGGAATTCCGCGAACGGCGGAGCAGCCAAGCAAGGAGTTTAGCTCCTCGTCGATTCTGACAACAACTGTGGTGAATGCTTCACCTAGCTTTGGCGGCACTGTCCTTCACCGCTGGCGGCTACAGGATCGAGCCCAGAGCTGGAAAAGTGAATATTTTTGAGAGGATTGAACCCTCACCCCTCTTTTCGTTGTCTTTCTCTTCGGAGTGGCTCTTCCTAAAAACCTGCCGCCAAAGCGCCAATGTTCTCCGCAGATTCTTCGTCACCATCCAGATTCTGGAACGCAACTCCAACGCCTCAGGACGAGAAACGATACCGTCTTTTTCGGAGTAGGCTGGTGGCTTGAGAGAAGAAGGGGTGAATGACAGGTAGCAAAAGTAAACCAGAGCAGACCAAGCAGCAAAGTGGAAAAGCGTGATGGGCAGCCGTTCCATCTACGTGTTTCTTTCGAAGTGTCTTTGGACGTTTTTGCTGTCGCTAAGCTTCGTTGAACTTCGCGACAGTTCTTCCGTTCTTTCAAGCTTTTGAGAACGGTGAAAAGTAAGCCGCAAAACGTTTACAGGAACAAGAAGCTACTAGGAACAAGTGCATCGCTTCTAGTAACAAGTGCCTTACTACTAGGAACAATGTTTGCTATTAGAAACAAGTGCCTTACTAGTAGTAACAAAAAGCTACTAGCCGTGCCTTACTACTAGTAAAACCTCCCAGTTCTTTAAACTGTTTGTGACTCCTTCTGAGCATCTTTGAACGCATTGCGCTTCTTGTAGTAATGCCCTTGTTACTAGTAGCTTCTTGCTACTAGTAGTAATGGCCTCCAACCTACTAGCGATGGCCTCCACCTAGTAGCTAGACTAAGCTTCTAGCTACTAATAGCGGCAGACAACAAAAAGCAAAGAGAGAGCAGCACGACTGCCCCAGCTAACACTGAGGCGGCTGGTCCATCTCGCCATTTCACGCAGCAAAAGGTTTAATGAGCTAGCAGCTAGAGCAGCTAAAGGTTCGGGATCAGTTTGGGCTGGTTGCGCCAACATATAAGGAAATTGGCTACATAAACGTCTCAACAAATATGCCCTACGGGGCCCTATGGATTACACATCAAGATCGTGTGATCCGCCGTATTCGATACAACACACCCGGATTGGACGGGATTCCTTGCTGCTTGTTCTCGAAACGAGGGCGAAGAGCAAAGGAGAACACAAAACCGAGGCATCCGTCTACCTTCACATTAGGCAAAACTGCCCTGAAAGGCAGGGTCATACCTTCTGCTAGATATGTTGCAGGAAAACGTGGCCCAAAGTTGTGACGTTGCGAAACGTTGCCCTCAAATAGTCAAGACCAATGGGGCGATGAAGGGCAGTTGTCAGTTGTCAGGGCAACACCGGCACCTCATACCCTGCTCTAGGAGCTGGCGCCGTTTGAAGAGTGTTTACAAAACACACCAAGATGTCACTGTGAGGAACTGAGTGCCTTACTACTAGTAACAAGAACGCTACTAGTAACAAAGTGCATCGCTACTAGTAACAAGTGCCTTACTAGTAGTAACAAGTGCCACGCTAGTAGTAACAGGGGCTTAAGAACTGAGTGTGAGATTTGGGGAAAACATGGGGACCTTCAAGGCACAAACGAAGAATGAACCCTTCAATAGCTTTCTTGTTACTAGTAGTAAGGCACTTGTTACTAGAAGCGATGCACTTGTTACTAGTAGCTTCTTGCTACTACTAGTACTTCAATAGAAGTACGACATTCTGAAGTCTTCCATCTCAGTTCTGGGCAATTGCCTTTCTGATCAACCACTGGGCCCCCACTGTTGCCCGAGTTGATGGCCTTGCCAGTCTCTCATTATTTGTAGACAGGTGGGGTAGGTAACTAGCAGCTGTAGAGGGAACTAGTGGAAGCAAACAGTAGCTAGTAGCTACTGGATGCAGGATAGCTCGCGCTTCTTCAAGGAAGAGCCCCGCTCCACCCTAAAGGCAAAAAACAAGTGGTTTTCAAGATGCTTCTAGTGGCGATGCCCTTTGTTCCTAGTAGCTTCTTGCTCCTAGTAGTAAGGCCAGGAGCCCCTAGTAGCGTCCTTGCTCCTAGTAGCGGTGCCCTTGCACTATTCATGCGACAGCTTGATCTTGAAGGAACTTACGTCTTTCTGATTTTTCCATACTTGTCCTCTTTTCGGCTCTTCTTGGCTTCTTTGAACTTCTTTCCCATGCTTTGAAAAGAACTCGGAAAAACGTGTTGCAACACAGTGAAAAGACGTGTGTCGCGGTTGCCCGTCTGAGGTGCCGACGGCATCAATCTGCACCTTGGCCATTTCTCAGCTTCAATTTAATTTTTTTTAAATAGCTTCTTGTTTCTAATAGCTTCTTGTTACTACTAGTAAGGCACTTGTTACTAGTAGCTTCAATTTCTACCAGCTTTTGTCTTTTGTAACAAGGTTCGCTAGTAGAAACAAGTGCCACGCTAGTAGTAACAGGTGCCTTACTAGTAGTAACAAGAAGCTACTACATTTTTTGTTTTCCGTGCGCATACCCACATGTTCAGAGGGAGCGCGGTTGCACAACCACAGCGGCAAAGGGGCTAAGTACCATGGACCATGGCCCCTATTCTGCAGTGAGGACATCCCAGCCCATTCAGCAGCATGCATGCTCCTAGTAGAAATGCCTTTGTTTCTAGTAGCTTCTTGTTCCTAGTAGCGATGGCCTCCAACCTACTTGCGATGCTCTCCAACCCAGTAGCGATGGCCTCCAACCTAGTAGCGTCCTTGCTTCTAGACGCTAAGCATCCCTAAGTCTGCAAACCGCTTTTGCACAAGGCTCCGTTGGCGACAAGAAGCATATGTTTGTGAGGCCTCTGTCTGTCTGTGTTCTTCCACGGTTCCATGCTGAGCAGCCCGCTGCTAGTAGCGTCACTCCAGTTTGCGCATACCTCAATGCTCAAAGGTCTCGCAGGTATCAAATCAACTCTTTCATCCTGACACGCAGTGTTCTCCAATAGGTCCAAACCATCCAATTTGGACTCTCGTAGGTCGAAAGGCTGTGGCGGGTGTGGAAAGCATTCGGGTTGGAGGCCATCGCTACTAGGTTTCTTTGCTACTAGGAGCAATGGGCATCGCTACTAGGAGCAAGGACGCTACTAGGGGCGCTCCTGGCCGTACTACTAGGAACAAGAAGCTAGTAGGGAGGCCATCGCTAGTAGGTTTCCTGACAGTTCAGCCTAGAACGAGAATTCCTTCGAGGCTGCGTGGCGGGAACAATGGCGGAGATGAAGAGGTTGCTGATAGTAACAGTGCATCCGAGAGTAAGCAGCAGCAATTGCCAGGGCTGAGCTTGATGGGTAGGACACCTGAGCTTAGTAACAAGGACATTTCTACTAGTAACACGGACGCAATTAGGTGGGGGCCATCCCAAGTAGGTTGGAGGCCATCGCTACTAGAAACAAGAACACTACTAGGAGCAAAGGGCGTCGCTACTAGGAGCAAGGACGCTACTAGTAACTACTACTAGGAACAAGAAGCTCTAGTCACCTAGTCTCTCAGCAGAACAGGAGGTAATGAAGGCCCTGAGGAGACGGAGGATTGCAAAAGAAACATGAGAGCATGATGATGGCGATGATAAGTGTAGCCAAAAAGGAAGACGGGGAAGCCCTGCGCCATTTACTAGATGCAACTAAGCGACAGCAAACCTCAACCCACATCAACCCACCATCCCGATCCATCCCGCCAACTCGTCGCGTCTACTCAGTTTTTCCACTCCACCAAACAGCCCGGCAAAGCACCACCAAATTTCGCCCATGGACACCACCAATTGCACACTTTTCCAACAAAATGCCACATTCACTGCAGAATGCTTCTAATTAACAGCCATGGCCTCCAACCCAACAGCGATGGCCTCCAACCTACCATCACCTTGGCTGCCCGAAGCCTCATTTATTCAAACCTGCTTCCGATTCACCAATGGCACAGCACCACTGGCCAACCATTTGCCTTCGGCGAGCCACCCCAGCACCGAGTAACAAGTGCATCGCTACTAGGAGCGATCGCACGCTACGTTCGGGGCTCCTGGCCTTACTACGAACGGAGCAAGGTTCGCTATTAGAAACAAAACATTATTCTTGTTACTAGTAACTCAAATTTTGATCGCTATTGTCATTTTTGTCCCAATATCCTAGTAACAAGAACGCCACTAGGAGCAAAAGGGCATCGCTACTAGGAGCAAAGGATGCTGCTAGGGGCTCCTGGCCTCGCTACTAGGAGCAAAGGACGCTAGTTACTTTGCCTGTTTCTAATAGCTTCTTGTTACTACCAGTAAGGCACCTGTTACTACTAGCGATGCACTTGTTACTACTAGCGAACCTTGTTACTTTCGCTTCTTGTTACTAGTAGCGAGGCACCGTTTCACTTCTTGTCGCGTTCGTGTCCGTCGAAGGGGCTCGACCAAGTCGATGCGGGAGACCACGCCCTGCGTCACGGAGAGGCTCTCGCCGCCCGTGGGGTAACCCACCACGGAGACGCTGTCCTTTCAAAGACCAAACAAGTAACAAGAAGCTAGTAGTAACAAGTGCCTTACTAGTAGTAACAAGAAGCTATTACTTTAATTTTAATTCTGATTTTAGTTTAATTTAATTCTAATTTAATTCAATTAAAATTTCATTTAATGCTAATTTAATTTAAATTGATTCTAAGTTAGTTTTAATTTAAATTAAATTAATTCAAATTTAGTTCTAATTTAATTCTAATATAGTTCTAATTTAAATAATTCTAATTTAATTTGATTGAAACCTGTTACTACTAGTAAGGCACTTGTTACTAGTAGCGATGCACTTGTTACTAGTAGCAAACAATCAAAACCTAAGGTAGGAGGCCATCAGTTTGCCGTTCCTGGAGGCCATCGCTCCTAGGGTCGACGCCATGGCCACAGTTAACCTAGCAGTAAAAAAGACCCAAAAAGGATAGAGCGGAACAAGAAGCTACCAGGAGCAAAGGGCATCGCTACTAGGAGCAAGGACGCTACTAGGGGCTCCTGGCCTTACTACTAGGAGCATCCTTGTTACTAGGAACAAGAAGCTACCAGGAGCAAAGGGCATCGCTACTAGGAGCAAGGACGCTACTAGGGGCTCCTGGCCTTACTACTAGGAGCATCCTTGTTACTAGGAACAAGAAGCTACCAGGAGCAAAGGGCATCGCTACTAGGAGCAAGGACGCTACTAGGGGCTCCTGGCCTTACTACTAGGAGCATCCTTGTTACTAGGAACAAGAAGCTACTAGGAGCTTTTCGCTTCATCTGTTCCACATCCGTGGGCATTGGTTCGCTCCTGCAGCTTCGGGAGGCCAGGCAAAATCTCCAGCGGCTCGAGGCCCTGCAAAAGACTTTGTTTAGGAAACCGTTTGCTCCGTTCATAGCGATGCCAGGAGCCCCTAGTAGCTTCCTGTTCCTAGTAAGGCCTAGTAGTAAGGCCAGGAGCCCCCAGTAGCATCCTTGCTCCCTCCTATGCCAACATGCCGTTGGTTTGCATTGTTCAGTGGCCAGGTGGGATCCACGCCAAACGCGCCAAACCCCAAAAACGAGAGGACAAACCGCTGGGAGAATAGGCACCACAGCATGCGAGTGCACGACCGAGGGCAATAGGGCGAAGCAAGGCCTCAACAATGACCTCCAACCTACTAGTGCCCTTGCTAGTAGCGATACCCTTTGCTACTAGTAGCGTCCTTGCTCCTAGTAGTAAGGCATGGAGCCCCTAGTAGCTTCTTGTTCCTAGCAGCAATGCCAGCAGCCCCTACTAGCGCCCTTGCTACTAGTAACTAGTAGCGATGACCTCCAACCTAAAAGCGATAGACTCCTATCATAGAGGAAAAACACTGAGAGGCCTAGCGGTCACACAACAAAATGCTCAAATGCAATCCACGTGCAATCGATCTAAAACCAGTCCGCAAAGTAGTCCCTTACTAGTAGTAACAAGTGCCTTACTAGTATGACAAGTGCCTTACTAGTAGTAACAAATGCATCGCTAGGAGTAACAAGTGCATCGCTAGTAGTAACAAGTGCCTTACTAGTAGTAACAAGTGCATCGCTAGTAGTAACAAGTGCCTTACTAGTAGTAACAAGTGCCTTACTAGTAGTAACAAGTGCATCGCTAGTAGTAACAAGTGCCTTACTAGTAGTAACAAGTGCCTTACTAGTAGTAACAAGTGCATCGCTAGTAGTAACAAGTGCCTCACTAGTAGTAACAAGTGCCTTACTAGTAGTAACAAGTGCATCGCTAGTAGTAACAAGTGCCTTACTAGTAGTAACTGGTTCCACTGAGCGAAAAATACCCCACTGGACAGGGCAACCACTGAGCTGATCCAAAACGTGAACTTGCAATGTCTGCGACCGAAGACATAGCCTGCAGGTTAGAAATGGCCTCCAACCCAATAGCGGTGGCCTCCAACTTACTAGCGATGGCTCCAACCTAAGAGCGATGGCCTCCAAGTTTAACAGTTGTGATTTTGCATTGCGAATTTTGCCTGTCTTGCTTTGAGCAACCTTTTCTTCTCCCCTCCCTTTGCCTTCATTCGATCTTTTCCTTTAGTCTCTGTGCACCAGGCAAGTTTTAGGGGACTTAAGGGGTGAAAAACCACGTTGAGTAAGCCAAAATACAGCCTAGGAATAAAACACGTTCGCGCTGCACTCACATGCAAGGTGGTCTGACGAGAGGCCATCGCTATTGGGTTGGAGGCCATTTCTAGCAGGTTGGATTGCGTTCATTCGGCCATTTTCTGTGCAAAAAAGTTCAAGTAACTCAAGAGTTCAGGCTCCTGGCCGTGACTGGCTCAGCAACACTACAGCGTCTGCTTCTTCTCTCTGTTTGGCTGCACCCTACCGGCACCGTCCTTCCAAAAGTCTGCGTGCGGAACTTCGAGAAGTGCAAGATCACAGTCAGTTCCAATGCAAAGCACCTGGTTCGAAAGGTAAACCAGGTAACCTTTGACCGAAAGGTAAACCATGTAGCATATCGGCAAAAAGGTTCCACCTGCGCGACATATTTCTGTTCATGGCGGTGTCTCTTTACCTGACGAGAACTTTCCAACACTGCCGTACTTGCAATTTTACGCCTAGCATTTTTTGAAATGCCCCTGCTGTTGCTTTCGCCTGAACCAATGCTGCATGCTCGACTGAATGAGCATTGGTGACAACCTCCCAACGAACACAGAGGCATCGGAAAGTGTTTTCTGAGAACTGTTTTTGTTTTCCAGAAAACGTGTTCCACTGTTTCGCTTGAGGGAAGAGCTCGCAAAGCCCCATTCAAGCGAATTGGCCATGCAGACGATGTCGACCTGGCAGCGCGTGAAAAACGGTGACGTGGAACTGAACGAGCGAAAACACAAAACCGTGCCACTTCCGAATCAATAGCTTCTTGTTTCTAATAGCTTCTTGTTACTACTAGTAAGGCACCTGTTACTACTAGCGATGCACTTGTTCCTAGTAGCTTCTTGTTTCTAATAGCAAACATTGTTACTAGTAAGGCCGCTCCTAGTAACGATTTTTGCACAAGAAAACAAAGTTCGAGGTCAACACGAGGTCTGCGCTTCTGAACACCACGGTTGTTTGTAATTGGGCTGCACATGCCACACAAAGACCTCATAACGCAATGCACAAAGCCCTTGCAGCTCGACTTGCGTTCTGAGATGGGCACCTTCAAAACGGAGTTGTGCACATCCTCACAAGGTCAATTGTTGAGGCCATCGCTCTTAGGTTGGAGGTCATTCTTTCATATTGTTTCTAGGTTTTGTCTTTAATTGTTTTTGTTTTCTTCTCTTATTGGTTGTTTCACTGCGCCATGTGCTGGAAGGGCCAATGAAGCATCATGAAGCCCGCAAGACACTCACTTAGCCTATCCCCATCAAGGATCGAGTCTCTGAATCGCTTCTGGCTATGGCTACTTGGCCCTTCAGTGTCTCACTATCAAGGTGCTGGATCAACTCACTCAAATGGTCAAAATCGGTTGGTCCAAGAGAGAAAAGGACTGTAGAGGAAAACCCGACAAAAAGGAAACGGCTAAAGTTTATGCTAACACCGATGTCGTTGTTTCTGCTTGACGTTTTTTCATTCGAAAAAAAGACCGATTGGAATTCGTTGCAAACGAGTTAGCACAACGAGTTTCGTTGCTCATCGAACCCCGCACAACCTGGGCTCCCAGGCGTTCACGGTCCAACGCCGTTTTCTCTTCGAACATGCCACCTGGTAGCGAACAAATTCGAAATGCGAAACATCAAAAATTCCAAAAATCGAAACATGCTTCATTTTGGAACTTTGGAACAAATCATAATCGTGTGGAAAAAAACTGCAGAACACCTTATTGAACGTTCGGCGAGCACACATGTTGCACAAATCCTACGAAAACATTCGGACCCAAACGCAGATGGAACAACAAACACATTGACATGTTGAGGTCGTAATTTACAAATCTCGAGCACAGTACAGGTTTGCATGCACAAATGCCCTGCCAAGCGTTTCTCTACAAACCCATAGCACCATAAGTTGGGACTGCCACAGTAAGCACTGTCAAACATTCTGAATAACCAGTACGCACTACAAAAACGCGCTTGCTTTCTACAAGCTGTTGCGCCCTTAAGGCTACCAAGTTGTTTTTTGTTTCGGCTTTCGATACACTAGGGCATCGCTACCAGCAAGGGCATTACTAGTAGCAAGAAACTACTAGGAGCAAAGGGCATCGCTAGGAGCAAGGACACTACTAGGGGCTCCTGGCATCGCTACTAGAAGCATTCTTACTACTAGTAACAACAAACAGCAACAAGGACCCTTTCGATGACTCGGCCAAATAGAATGCGTTCATCAGGTCACCCCGCCTTTCCTTCGAACGCTAGCGGAATGTCGGGACGCAAGGATGGGCTCAGTGTCCGAAAGAATTTGAACGTTTTGTGAAGAACTAGGAGCTACTGTTACTAGGCACCTGTTACTACTAGCGTGGCACTTGTTACTAGTAGCTTCTTG